GATGAAATGAATAATTTCGAAAAGAAGATAATTGGACTTGCTTCAATAGGGGAAAAATTTCCTGTTCAAAAATGGCTCACATGTGGTAACTTTTCTTACAAGAGGAAAGTCTTCGCTAAGTCAAAGCCTGTCCTCAATGCGTTCAGTCCTACTGGAGAAAAGTACAAAAATAACGTTTATCAACAAAATATCCTCCATATATAGACACAAATACTTAGAGCAAATCTGAACCCGTTCTTGAACATCTAGCTGCGACTTCCACCATATTTGTACAGTTCGATAAGTCGTCGCAGCACTTCTTTCTGGTTGACGCCTAAAGTAGAAGTAGTAAGTAGTAAAGAACACGCATACAGTTGAACAACACGTATGCTGTATTTTTCCTATATTTCCTACCTTGAAATATATGTGGTGCACTAAAAAGTATACCGCATGTACCGCCAACGGTGATACCAAAAAAGACGTAGAGTAATAATCGATCGATAATCATCGCTACGTATTTCCAGTCATCACGGAACTGAAAAATTACCGCGTGATGTTTTTTTTCGGGCTTTAAGGTAGCGTCCAGGCTGATTTTTAGAGAACTTGAATTTTGATTGTGATTTTGGCGGAGGTAGCCAATCGTGCCAGCTCATATGCTTCATTCTTGGCAATTTCGAGGAGGCCAATCACGTTCTTGATTACGGTAAAGGCACGGTTTGGGTGAGGGTTTGAAGTTAAATTTTCTGCGACAATAAATCATATGAGCTGCTGCTTGAGAAATTGCTTAATAAAAGTCCCTTAATCAGTTTCCACAATAAAATTCTGTGCCTAAGTTCTGGTTAGGACCATCCCTGTTGCGACTAACTTTACCCACCATTTTGAATTCTTCGTCTTGTTTTAGATGGTCCGTTATGTACTCAATTGCATCGATAGCCTTCAATGCATCCGGAGAAAGTGGATAAAAAGCAGCAGTCAAAGGATCTCTGACAATTTCTGGTGAGCTGCTCAGAACTTTCACGGACGCCGTCCTGAAAAAAAATGTTCTCTACTTTTTAGCAAATCCCTTGAACTTTCCTACGCACCTGTCATCGGCGCTAGGACAGAATGGATGATGAGTTGCTGGGTTTAAAGTGAACTGCCCTAAGCCTGGCAGTTGTGCCACCCCTCGTTTCTGACTTGCTAATAACTTTCGTGAAGCAGACTTCGGACGCTGCATACACATTACCCAAGGCATCCACTGAAAAAATAATTATAACAAAT